TACTATGAGTATACTATCAGCTGAGTTGAATAGACACACATTTTTTGGATGATCTCATTATAACTTGAAACCTGATTTTGCAATTGATCCACAGAGGACTTCACTCAAAGACGAAGTGAAGAAAAACCATGAGAAATTAAATACCACCCATGTTAGTGTTAACATGTGATAAATATAAGTACAGTCAAGATAGGCTGAACTCACGTAAGTATCGTATGATATTTATTATTATGCATCTGTCACCGTAACGCCATGAGTTACAGCGTGCTGTAATTTTGTGGTATTTTACTGGGTATTTTCATCCTACCATATTAGGAAATGAGAATTCCAAATATGGAATGATTATGAGAGTAAGTGTCCTGTAATAATAAAAACAAACATGGCTGCTACCAGGGTTTGACCCAACTCCACACAAAGAAGTTTGCTGATTCTGTTTTAAACTTTTTGGATCTCGGCATTCCCATGATGTACAGTCAAGATAGACAATATTAATAACTGTAGAAAAAATAATTTTTGACAACTTTTATTTTTTTTTACTTATATCATATATATTGTATATTCAACAGTATCTCATAATGATTTTACTGGTCCACCGGAAGGTTTTCGTGCAATGACTCCACTCCATGTCAAACCAGCAAGATACAATTATCTGGATAGTGACAGGACTCCAAAAGCTGAAATATCGGAGGCCAGGGATGTGTACACTAATCACAACATTGATAATATCTGTCAAAGAATAAATGAAAATAAAGAGCGATGCCAAGCTAGAGTGGATGATGGTAAAGAAACCCATTTCTTGTTTGGATCTGATGAAATTGACGCTAAAACTAGTGGCAATGATGCAAAAAGTAACAAAATGCACAGCAGGTGTTAAGAATATGCAGGATGGGAACCACCAACATTTAAGTGTCAGGTTAGTTTTAATGTCAGCAGCAATCTGGTTTACATCAACTCTCAATTATACATAATTACTTCACTTGAAAATATATATTTTAACATTTGCTTTCATTTGTTTCAGTAAAAACACTTGTGATAATGATGATACGTTTGATTCTGGTCTCAAACATTTACAAGGACAACTACGAAATGTGCTCAATAAAAGGTAATGGATATATATTTTAAATTGACACTTTAATGGAGGGACAATAACAATACATAAGAGATTATTGTGTGGTGCAAATACTGCTACTGACATTTGTTGATATTGTTTCAGGAATATCTGTCCTCTTAGTTTGAATCTGAGACGTGCATTTTTAAAATGTGATGCACATCAAACTGGTAAAGTGTCCAGAGATGACATCAAGACAATCTGCACCAGATTGCAACTGAATCTTTATGATGGATTGCTGGATAAAATGATGGACAGGTTAGTAGTAGTAAATTACAGTTGCATAAAAACAAAAGTAACATATGGTATTGAGACACAGAGAACAAACATTATGATCATGCTTCTTCTTTTTTTGGCTGGTTCATAATCAAGTGAAGTAGCAACAATATGTCTGTCGTCCGGCATCGGCATAAACTATAATAATATTCAGTCAATCATTAGCAAACTTATTTATATATGGTAAATCTGTAGGTATAGATGGCTAGTATAGGTTTTGGAGTTGATCTTTCAAAAATTGTATCTTTGGTGATTTGGGGTATTTATAGTGTAGTGAAAAATCAAGACATTGCATGCTAGAAACTTTTTTTTCTTTTAAAATATTTTATTTATTTATAAATGTTGTTTTAACTTTTTGCTCAATAACTTTGAATCAGTGTTTTAACTTTTAATGAATTTAATAACAAACTCCTAGAAATGTTCACTTGCTTTACCATATTAAAGGGGCAGTGCTGGTATTAATTAGGGCTATAAACCATTCAGCAAAATAGGGAGGGAAGTGCAGTCATGATTTCTAACAATCAGATTGATTGGTAAATTTTGTTGAAGTTCATGATAAATAAATTAACAATAGTGTTGACTTAAGATCAGATCATTCAACTTAAATGATAACTTCAACACTCTGTGTTGCTCTACATTGTG